GGGGTCATGAGCGCCCGGCGTGCGGGGGGGGGGCGAAGGGGGGTGACGTCAGGGATGGGGCCGGGGGGGATTTGGGGTGGGGGGAACCCTCGGCCCGGCGGCCCCCTGCCGGGGGCTTGTTTACCGCTCGCGCTGGGGATGATGGGGGAGAGGGGCCGATGCGGCGGGGAGGGGGGCTCGTGGCTGCGGCTGGGCGCCTCTGCTTGGCGGCCCGGGCGGATCGCGGCCGAGGTGGATCCAGCCCGCCCGGATCCCGGAGCTGCCAGAGCCGGCACAGCCTGAGTGTCCAGAGCCAGCACAGCTGGATCCCAGCCCAGCCTGGTCTGGCACAGCCGGATCCCAGCCGCGGATCCCGGAGCATCCCGATTCGGCACAGCCGGATCCCGGTCCACCCTGAGTGGCCAGATCCAGCCCAGCTGGATTCCAGCATGCCTCGGTCCAGCCCCTTTGGATCTCGCACATCTGGATCCAGCTCCTCTGGATCGCAGCCCGCCCGGATCCCAGCCCACCTGGCTTCCGGTGCATCTGGATCCCAGCCCATCCGGATCATTCCCCTCCAGATCCAGCAAGCCTGGATCCTGGCAAGCCTGGCCCTACGGATCCTGCGCAGCTGGAACCCAGCCCATCTGGATTCCAGTACCACTGGATCCAACCCACCTGGATGCCGCCCGCCTGGATCCTAGCACATCTGGATCCCGGCCCATCGGGATCCAGCCCCTCCAGATCCATCTGGATCCGGCCCGTCCTGGATCCCGCACACCTATAGTATGTATAGCATGAATCAGATGCTACATTTGAGGCTGACGCAACGAACGGCATGCAAATGCCTTCAAGACGCAAATAACACGTACAAATAAATAAAAATATAATACTAACTTCTATTTAAGTATAAATATAATATGTTTATGCGTTTGGTGTTTATACATTACATTAAATAGACTAGGATAAACGTGTAGTTGCTTTATTTTAATAACGATGCAATTACTATTATGATTTTTCCATACTAGAATAAATTGATTCAGGTGATTAGAGCCGGGGTCAGACTAGATGACCCAGAGGCCCCTTCTGCCTCGCTCTTTTTCTATGTTTCCATGAGCAGAGCCGGGGTCAGACTAGATGACCCAGAGGCCCCTTCCGCCTCGCTCTGTTCCCATGTTCCTCTGAGCAGAGCCGGGGTCAGACTAGATGACCCAGGAGGTCCCTTCTGCCTCACTCAGTTTCTATCTTTCTCTGGGTGGAGCCGGGGTCAGACTAGATGACCCAGAGGCCCCTTCTTCCTCGCTCTTTTTCTATGGTTCTCTGAGTGGAGCCGGGGTCAGACTAGATGACCCAGGAGGCCCCTTCCGCCTCGCTCTTTTTCTATGTTTCTCTGAGCAGAGCCGGGGTCAGACTAGATGACCCAGAGGCCCCTTCTGCCTCGCTCTTTTTCTATGCTTCTCTGAGCGGAGCCGGGGTCAGACTAGATGACCCAGGAGGCCCCTTCTGCCTCGCTCGGTTTCTTTCGGAACAAACAGCCGTCCTTGGGGCAGCCGATTGCCCCGGAGCAGAGGGGAGGGGGGTCCTTCTGCCCCCTTTTCTACCCCAGGGGGTGCCCGGCTCATGTGGGCCCCGCCTGGCTAGGCCCTTGCGAAACTGCCTCCCAGCAGCCGGGAGAGGAAGGAAGCTCTTGCGCAACCCATGCGCCACAGCCCGAGGCCTCCTGCCCCCACATCTCCGGCTCGGCTGGCCCTCGGTAGCCCTGGGGGATGGATGATGGGTTTTGGGGGCGCGGGGAGGCTCAAGGGATGGGCAGCCCATGGGCCCCCGGCTCCCCACACTCCCATCTTGCTGCAGTTGGCCAGACTGGGGCAGATGGGCCCCGCATCCTTGAGAAAGCCTATGTTTCTCTGAGCGGAGCCGGGGTCAGACTAGATGGCCCGGAGGCCCCTTCCGCCTCGCTCGGTTCCCATGTTCCCCTGAGCAGAGCCGGGGTCAGACTAGATGACCCGGAGGTCCCTTCTCCCTCGCTCTCTTTCTATGTTCCCCTGAGCAGAGCCGGGGTCAGATTAGATGACCCAGAAGCCCCTTTTGCCTCGCTCGGTTCCCATGTTCCTCTGAGCAGAGCCGGGGTCAGACTAGATGACCTTTGTGGCCCCTTCTGCCTCACTCGGTTCCCATGTTCCCCTGAGTGGAGTCGGGGTCAGACTAGATGACCTGGAGGCACCTTCTCCCTCGCTCTCTTTCTATATTTCTCTCTTTGCTTCTAGAATTTATTTAGGAGCCAATTTTTCTCTCAAATATAAAGCCAGTCCTTTTTTCCTTTGACGAGAGGAAGATTTAAAACAACTTCCCAAGTTTTGGACGTTTAAAAAGCGCACGGTGTCATCTTTTAATAAGTGTTTCTGGTGGACAAATTACGTCTAATTTCAATTTTTGAAGCGTGCATTTAATCTGTGTAAATTGTCTTTTTTCTTGGAGGCAAATGACATTAATTTCAATTTTTGAAGCGTGTATTAAATCCGCGTAAATTGTCTTTTTTCTTGTAGACAAATGACATTAATTTCAATTTTTGAAGCGTGCATTTAATCCGTGTAAATTGTCTTTTTTCTTGGGGACAAATTACATCTAATTTCAAGTTTTGAAGCATGCATTTAATTCGCGTAAATTGTCTTTTTTCTTGCAGACAAATTACATTAATTTCAATTTTTGAAGCGTGCATTTACTCCGCGTAAATTGTCTTTTTTCTTGCAGACAAATGACATTAATTTCAATTTTTGAAGCTGAGAAATAATCCTCTTTGACAGTGCATTTAATTCACATAAATTGCCTTTTAATATGTGTTTCTTGCAGACAAATTACATTAATTTCAATTTTTTTCGTTGAGAAAAGGCCCTTTTTCTCTTCGGCGGTGCATTTAATTCATGTAAATTGTGTTTTAATACGTGTTTCTTGCAGAAAATTACATTAATTTCAATTTTTGAAGCTTAGAAATAATCTTCTTGGACGGTGCGATTAATCCATGTAAATTGTCTTTTAATATGTGTTTCTTATGGACAAATTACATTAATTTCAATTTTTTTGTTGAGAAAAAGCCCTTTTCCTCTTCGACGGTGCATTTAATTCATGTAAATTGCATTTTAATATGTGTTTCTTGTAGACAAATTACATTAATTTCAATTTTTTGGTTGAGAAAAAGCCCTTTTCCTCTTCGGCGGTGCATTTAATTCATGTAAATTTCCTTTTAATATGAGTTTTTATTTAGACAAATTACATTAATTTCAATTTTTTGGTTGAGAAAAAGCCCTTTTCCTCATTGAATCCTTGTATGTCCGGAGAGAGAAATTCAATTTTTCCTTCTATTTTAAAAGCAAGATTTATAAGATAAATATATATATTTATTTATATTTAGTCTTTTCGCTTCTACCTTTTTTTTTTACTTTTGATTCCGGAAAACGTTGCTCCTCATCTTGAATTTTAGTCGCTATTTCTCCTCCTTTCATTCAGTCCGTTCTTCCTCTTCGAACGAAATTCTGAATTTTTCGTAAAAATCCCGAGCCTGGAAGATGGAATCCAGGCGAAATCTTCTAGAATTCCCGGGAAAAATATGCTTTCCGATGTTATTCCTCCGTACGTAATTCCTCTCCTGAGCAACTTGGACGGAAAAATCGGTATTTCTTCCGTCCGTCTCCGATCCTTCATGGTATTTATTCCGGAAAAAATCACATTTTTATTCCGGAAAAATCACATTTTCATTCCGGAAAAATCACATTTCAACAGAATTGCTCTCCTGAGCAACTTGGATGGAAAAATCGGTATTTCTTCCATCCATCTCCGATCCTCCATGGTATTTATTCCGGAAAAATCACATTTTTATTCCAGAAAAATCACATTTTTATTCCGGAAAAATCACATTTCGACAGAATTCCACTCTTGAGCAACTTGGACAGAGAAATCGGTATTTCTTCCGTCCGTCTCCGATCCTTCAGGGTATTTATTCCGCAAAAATCACTTTTTTCTTCCGGAAAAATCACATTTCAACAGAATTCCTCTCTTGAGCAACTTGGACGGAAAAATCGGTTCTTCTTCTGTCTGTCTCCAATCCTGCATGGTATTTATTCCGGAAAAATCACATTTTTATTCCGGAAAAATCACATTTTGACAGAATTCCACTCTTGAGCAACTTGGACGGAAAAATTGGTATTTCTTCCGTCTGTCTCCGATCCTTCATGGTATTTATTCTGGAAAAATCACATTTTTATTCCGGAAAAATCACATTTCCACAGAAATCCGCTCTTGAGCAACTTGGACAGAAAAATCGGTATTTCTTCCATCCGTCTCTGATCCTCCACGGTATTTATTCCGGAAAAATCACATTTTTATTCCGGAAAAATCACATTTTTATTCTGGAAAAATCACATTTCAACCGGATTCCTCTCTTGAGCAACTTGGACGGAAAATCGGTATTTATTCCGTCCGTCTCCAATCCTCCATGGTATTTATTCCGGAAAAATCACATTTTTATTCCGGAAAAATCACATTTTTATTCCGGAAAAATCACATTTCGACAGAATTCCGCTCTTGAGCAACTTGGACGGAGAAATCGGTATTTCTTCCATCCGTCTCTGATCCTTCATGGTATTTATTCCAGAAAAATCACATTTTTATTCCGGAAAAATCACATTTCAACGAAATTCCTGTCTTGGGCAACTTGGACGGAGAAATCGGTATTTCTTCCGTCCGTCTCCGATCCTGCATGGTATTTATTCTGGAAAAATCACATTTTTATTCCGGAAAAATCACATTTCAACAGGATTCCTCTCCTGAGCAACTTGGATGGAGAAATAGGTATTTCTTCCGTCCGTCTCCGATCCTTCATGGTATTTATTCCGGAAAAATCACATTTTTATTCCGGAAAAATCGCATTTCGACAGAATTCCTCTCTTGGGCAACTTGGACGGAGGAATCGGTATTTCTTCCGTCCGTCTCCGATTCTCCATGGTATTTGTTCCATTGAATAGACTCTGGAAATGCTTGTATTGCTAAAAGTGTCATTTGTAAGTCTTTTTGGAGCCGGGGTCAGACTAGATGACCAGGAGGCCCCTTCTGCCTCGCTCTGTTTCTATGTTTCTCTGAGCGGAGCCGGGGTCAGACTAGATGACCCAGAGGTCTCTTCTGCCTCGCTCTCTTTCTATGTTCCTCTGAGTGGAGCCGGGGTCAGACTAGATGGCCCAGAGGCCCCGTCTGCCTCACTGTCTTTCTATGTTCCCATGAGCGGAGCTGGGGTCAGACTAGATGACCCAGGAGGGTCCTTCTGCCTCGCTGTGTTTCTGTGTGTCTCTGAACGGAGCCGGGGTCAGACTAGATGGCCCGGAGGCCCCTTCTCCCTCGCTCTCTTTCTATGTTCCTCTGAGCAGAGCCAGGGTCAGACTAGATTACCTTTGTGGGTCCTTCTGCCTCGCTCGGTTCCCATGTTCCCCTGAGTGGAGTTGGGGTCAGACTAGATGCCCCAGAGGCCCCTTCTACCTCGCTCGGTTTCTATGTTCCTCTGAGCAGAGCCGGGGTCAGACTAGATGACCCGGAGGCCCCTTCTCCCTCGCTCTCTTTCTATGTGTGTCTGAACGGAGCCAGGGTCAGACTAGATTACCTTGGTGGCCCCTTCTGCCTTGCTCGGTTCCCATGTTCCCCTGAGTGGAGTCGGGGTCAGACTAGATGCCCCAGAGACCCCTTCTGCCTCGCTCGGTTTCTATTTTCCTCTGAGCAGAGCCGGGGTCAGACTAGATGACCCGGAGGCCCCTTCTCCCTCGCTCTCTTTCTGTGTGTCTCTGAACGGAGCCGGGGTCAGACTAGATGGCCTCAGAGGCCCCTCCTGCCTCTCTCTGCCTCTACGTGTCTCCGAGCTGAGCCAGGGTCAGACTAGACGCCCTCGCGGGCCCCGTCCCGCCCCGCTCTTCCCCTTCTGCCCTTCATTTTCAAAAAAGACGAATAAATCCATATATTTTTGAAGGCCACCAGGCGGCAGCAAAGAGCCACCAAAAAAAGAAAGGGAAAAAAGCAATAAATTGCATTTAAATAGCATTAAATCGCATTAAATCGCCCCAGGCTGGCGGCAAAGATGGATTGGTGGTTCTAACCCAAGAAATAATCTTCATTTTAACCCATATAAAACTTTAATGTTACAAGAAAGTATTAGGATAATTGAATATTATAAATAAATGTAGAAGAAATAAATATAATTTTAATAACGGAATGTTGTAAATAAATTTAAATTGGTATAATTGCAAATATTGTAAATGGATTTATAAGAAAGCAATATAAATTTAAGAATAGAATGTTCGAAGCAAATTTATATTTACGTAATATAAATTATGTATTTAATTTATATTATGTAAATATTATGTATTATGTAAATATTATAAGTGGATTTATAAGAAAGAAATATATATTTAAGAATAGAATGTTCTAAACAAATTTATATTTACGTAGTTGTAAATATTATAAATGAATTTATAAGAAAGATAAATTTAAGAATAGAATGTTCTAAATAAATTTATATTTACGTAGTTGTAAATATTATAACTGAATTTATAAGAAAGATAAATTTAAAAATAGAATGTTTTAAATAAATTCGTGTTTACATAATTGGAAATATTATACCTGAATTTATAAGAAAGTAATACAAATTTAAGAGTAGAATGTTCTAAATAAATTTATATTTACATAGTTGTAAACATTGTAAATGAATTTATAAGGAAGAAAGAAAAATTTAAGAATAGAATGTTCTAAACAAATTTATATTTACATAGTTGTAAATATTATAAATGAATTCATAATAATGTGTTCTATGTGTCTCTGAGCAGAGCCGGGGTCAGACTAGATGACCCGGAGAGCCCTTCTTCTTCGCTGTGTTTGTATTCGTCTCTGATTTGCAACTGGGGTCAGACTAGATGCCCTCACGGGTCCCTTCTGCCTCAGTTGGTTTCTCTGTTTCTCTTGGCAGAGCCGGGGTCAGACTAGATGCCCCGGAGACCCCTTCTGCCCCGCTCTCTATGTTCCCCTGAGCAGAGCCGGGGTCAGACTAGATGCCCTCGCAGGCCCCTCCTGCCTCTCTCTCTTTCTATGGGTCTCTGAGCGGGGCCGGGGTCAGACTAGATGCCCTCGCAGATCCCCTCCTGCCCCCCTCTCCCTTTCTATGGGTCTCTGAGCAGTGCCGGGGTCAGACTAGATGGCCTCGCAGGACCCTCCTGCCTCTCTCTCTTTCTATGGGTCTCTGAGCAGAGCTGGGGTCAGACTAGATGCCCTCGCAGACTCCTTCCTGCCCCCCTCTCCCTTTCTATGGGTCTCTGAGCGGAGCCGGGGTCAGACTAGATGCCCTCGCAGAACCCTCCTGCCCCCCTCTCCCTTTCTATGGGTCTCAGAGCGGGGCCGGGGTCAGTCTAGATACCCTCGCAGGCCCCTCCTGCCTCTCTCTCTTTCTCTGGGTCTCTGAGCGGGGCCAGGGCCAGACTAGATGCCCTCTCTTTGTCCCCAGCCCCCCCCCCCAGTCCTCACACTGACCCCCCCCCCCCCCCCCCCCCCCCTCAGCTCTCCGCCGGCCACCCCGTCTACGAGACCTACTACAAGCAGGCGAGTAACCCCCCCTCCCCTTCCCCCCACCCCCCCTCCTGGAAACCCATGCGCCCCCGGCCTCGGCCACATGGGCCTCGGCATCCGGGCGCGGGGCCCCCTCAACCCGGCTTGCCTCTCCCGCAGGTGGACCCCTCCTGCTCCGGCCGGATCGGGGCCAGCGATGCCGCCCTCTTCCTCAAGAAGTCCGGCCTGGCCGATCCCGTGCTGGGGAAGGTGGGTAGCGGAGTCCCTCCACGGGGTGGGGGGGGTGGGGGGCCACGGTTCTCCCCCGGCCTCTGGGCAGAGCCCAAAAATCAATGCATCCTATAGAACGTTTATTTATAGGAAGGGCGGCGTATAAAATCGATTCATGTTGTTGTATCACATTTATATAATATTTAAATAATATTTAAATAATAATAATATTATAAATATTATGTAAAATAATATTTAAATAATATAATATTTAATTATATAATATTAAAAATATCGTAAATGTAATTATATGTCATATATGTAGTAAATTTAATTGTGGTTCATATGTATGATAAATTTAATTATGTAGCTTATATATGATCAATTTAATTATGTGTCATATATATGAAAAATTTAATTCTGTATCATATATATAAAATTTTGATTCTTTATCATACATAAATTTTGTATTTAATATATAGAAGCAATCAATGTATAATAAATAAATACTAGTATTTAATAAAGAATAAATTATATTATATATTATATGTTATATTTATTTATTATTATGTAATAAATTTAATCATATACCAAATATATAATGAATTTAATTAACTATTTAATATGCACATATATTCAACATCATTATATAACTAAATTGCTAAGTTACATTTTCAATTATATTTCAATTATATTTCAAGAAATGTTGTAATAGTAATAATAGTTTATTCAGATAATTTATTACTATATAACATTAAATACAGAATGAATATATGAGTTTAATTATATATCCTCTAAAATAAATCCAATTCTTATATACTCATTCCAAATAATTCAATTTATATTAGACTAACCTGACATTAGTTTTAATACTATAAAATTTTTCTTGTGTGTTACTTTATTATATTATGATTATTGCTATTATTTGGAGCATTTATACGCCGTCCTTCGTGGCGGGAAAATCCCGGAAAAGCATCTTAAATATGTATATTTATTTCAGGAATATTTGCTTTTTTAAAAGCTCCCCCCCCCCCGGCCTCGGGGGGGCCGACCTCAGCCCCCCCCCCATGCGGCCGTGCAAGAGAACATTCCGGAACGTTCCCGGTCCTCCCCCCCCACCCCGGCCTCGGGTGGGCCAACCTCAGCCCCCCCCCCTGCGGTCGGGCAAGAGAACATTCCGGAACATTCCCAGTCCTCTCCCCCCACCCCCCCCGGCCGCTTCCACATCGGGGCGGATCCTCCTCCTCGTCCGTTCTGTTCCCCCAGATCTGGGATTTGGCTGATCCGGAGGGCAAGGGGTTCCTGGACAAGCAGGTATGTCGGCCGGGGGGCACCGGGCCGCGCCGGGGGGCACGTGGCGGGGCTGATGGGGCAGCATGCCGCCCGCGGGGAGAAGGGGGGCATGATGACGCCCGTGGGGGCACTGTGGCGAGGCTGATGGGGCAGCATGCCGCCCGCGGGGAGAAGGGGGGCATGACGCCTGTGGGGGAGGCTGATGGGGCAGCATGCCGCCCGCGGGGAGAAGGGGGGCATGACGCCTGTGGGGGTGGCTGATGGGGCAGCATGCCGCCCGTGGGGAGAAGGGGGGCATGATGATGTGAGGGGGGGCCCCGTGGCGAGGCTGATGGCGCAGCACGCCACCCGCGGGGAGAGTGCGGGCATGATGACGCCCGTGGGGCAGAGGGGGCACATGGCGAGGCTGATGGGGGGCAGCATGCCACGCTCTGGGAGGGGGGCCCCCCGTGCCCCCCTCCGGGCCCTCACGCCGCCTCCGTCCCCCCCAGGGCTTCTTCCTCGCGCTCCGTCTCGTCGCCTGCGCCCAGAGCGGCCACGAGGTGGGACTCGGCGGCCTCGGCCTGACGTTGCCTCCCCCCAAATTCGTGAGTGTTGTCCCCGAGACCCTTTCTTTTGGGGGGGTCACCCCGGGCCCCAGGTTTGCCCCAGACCCTGGTTGTGGGGTCACCCCGCACCCCGTGGCCCCGGGTTTGCCCCAGACACTGGTTGTGGGGTCACCCTGCACCCGTGGCCCCGGCTTTGCCCCAGACCCCGGTTGTGGGGTCACCCCGGACCACGGGTTTGCCCCAGCCCCTGCTTGTGGGGTCACCCCGCCCCCCGGGGCCCCCCACGGCCCGCTCCGACCTCTCCCTCTTCCCTCGCAGCACGACAGCACCAGTCCCTCCCTGGCCTCGTCCTCGGATGCCCACTGGGCCGTCAGGGTGAGTTTCCCGGGAATCCCGGCGCTCCGGACGCCCCTCCCCACGCTCCCCACGCGGATGAAACCCCGATTTCCGTGGCTTTTTTCTCGGAACGCCGGATCTCTCCTGTCCGTGCTTTTTTCTGCTCCCCCTTGGCTCAAATATCGATTTTTACGGGATTTTTTCTCGGAATGCCGGATTTATCTCGGATCCGCTGCTTCCTGCCATGGCTTAAATATCGATTTTTACGGGATTTTTTCTCGGAATGCTGGATTTATCTTATATCTGCTTCTTCCTGCCACGGCTTAAATATCGATTTTTACGGGATTTTTTCTCGGAATGCTGGATTTATCTCGGATCCAGTTCTTCCTGCCATGGTTTAAATATCGATTTTTATGGGATTTTTTCTCGGAATGCTGGATTTATCTCTCATCTGCTGCTTTCTGCCACGGCTTAAATATCAATTTTTACAGGATTTTTTCCTGGAATGGTGGATTTATCTTGGATCCACTTCTTCCTGCCATGGCTTAAATATCGATTTTTACGGAATTTTTTCCTGGAATAGTGGATTTATCCTGGATCCGCTTCTTCCCTCTATGGCTTAAATATTTTTTTTAATGGCATTATTTTTTCCCGGAATGGTGAATTTCTCTTGGATCTGCTTCTTCCCGCTTTGGCTTAAATACCGATTTCTCTGGCATTTTTCCCCGGAATGCTGGATTTAAATGGGATCAGCTTTTTTGTGGTTCCTCCATGGCTTAATTCTTCATTTTCATGGAATTTTTTCTGTCCCAGATTTGCTTCTCCTTGCTCCATCCGTGGATTAAATATTGATTTTCATGGCATTTTTTCCGGGAATTCTGAATTTCTCCTGGATGGGCTGCTTCCTCTATGGCTTAAATGTGGATTTTAATGGCATTTTTCTCGGAATGAGTATCTATCCTGGATCCGCTTCTCCGTAATCCCTCCGTGGCTTAAATTTGCTTTTTAATGGCATTTTTTTCCCCGCAATTCTGGATCTCTCTTGGCTGCTCTTCCTGCTCCTTCCATGGCTTAAATTTGGAATTTCATGGCATTTTTCCCTGGAATTTGGGATCTATGTTGGATGCGCTTTGCCACATTTTCTCCACGGATAAAATATTGATTTTAACGGCATTTTTATTTGGAATTCTGGATTTTTCTTGTATTTATCCCGGCGCTCCGGATAAGCATCTCGACGATCTGTCCGTGACTTAAATACGGATTTTAATGGCATTTTTTCCTGGAATTCTGGATCCATCTTGGATGTGCTTTTTCCTGCTCCCTCCATGGATTTAATACTGATTTTAACACCTTTTTTTCTTGGAATGGTGGATCTATTTTGGATCCGCTTCTTCCTGCTCCCTCCGTGGATTAAATCCCGATTTTAATGGAATTTTTCCGGGAATGGTGGATTTCTCTCGGATGGGCTTTGTTCATGGATAAAATATTGGTTTTAATTGTATTTTTTATTGGAATGGTGGATTTATCTTGGATCTGTTTTTCTGTGTTCCTTCCATGGATTAAATCTTGATTTTAATGCCATTTTTCCTTGGAATACTGGATTTATCTTGGATCCACTTCTTCCCGTTCCCCCCATGGATTAAATATTCTTTTTAATGCCAATTTTCCTTGGAATAATGGATTTATCTTGGATCCCCTTCTTCCCCATGGATCGAATCTTGATTTTAATGGCTTTTCTCTTTTTCTCGGAATGGCGGATTTCTCTTGGATCCGCTTCCGTGGCTTAAATCCGGATTTTCATGGCATTTTTCAATGGAATGCTGGATTTATCCCGTATTTCTCTCGGCGCTCCAGATACGCATCTCCGTTCTCCTTCCGTGGCTTAAATATTGCTTTTCGTGGTATTTTTCCACGGAATGCTGGATTTCTCCCGGCGTTCCAGATACGCATCTCCGTGGCTTAGATATTGATTTTAATGGTATTTTCTCTCGGAACGGAGGATTAATCTTGGATCCCTTTCTTCCCGCGTCTTCCGTGGATTAAATCTTGATTTTTATGGCGGGCGATTTGGAAGGCGGATTGATCTTGTATTGAAACGGTCTTTAAATGGATTTTTTTTTTGGGGGGGGGGATATTCTGATTCTAACCCACCCGGGGAGCTGGGGGGCTGATTGGGAGGGTTGGGAATTTACGGAATGAGGGAAACGAGGGGGATTTATTTATTTATTTATCTATTGATTAATTAAAACATTTTTAGAATTAGATCGACGGGGCGTCCCTGGGAGTTGGACATGGACGTGTCATGGATGGAGCTGGGGTCAGACTAGATGGCCTGGGAGCCCCTTTCTCGGATTCCGTGATCCAGGGGGTTGGACCTGAGGGCCTTCCTGGCCCTTCTGACTCCACTGTCCCATCATCCTGTCATCCAGGGGGTTGGATTGATGGCCTTCCTGGCTCCTTCCGACTCCAGTATTCCATGACTCGGTCATCCGGGGGGTGGACTGGATGGCCTTCAGGCCCCTTCCAACTCTACCGTTCCATGATTCTGTCATCCTGTGATCTTGGGGTTGGACTAGATGGCCTTCAGGACCCTTCCAACTCTACTGTTCCTCAATCCTATGATCCTGGGGTTGGACTTGATGGCCTTCAGGCCCCTTCCAACTCTACTATTCCATGATTCTGTCATCCTATGATCCAAGGGTTGGACTGGATGGCCTCCATGGCCCCTCCAACTCCCCTATTCCATGATCCTGATC